ATCACTCTTCTCTCCCAAGTCTTGTTGCTGCTGGAGAAGTGGGGAGTGCCAAGACAGATTCAAGCCCACTCTCAAGTTCAGGGATGCAGAGGCGCAAAAGAAATGCCAAGCTGTAGCTGATGAAGCTCTTCTGCTGTTGAGACTTCATGAGCAGTGAAGGTTTGCGATGCTGGTGGCTTGTGTGTCACTTTGTCCCTGGTGCTCGCTGTCCCCTCCAGTGGCTTGGCATGGGATGGAGGTACACCAGAGCAGGCACTTTCTGGACAGGGTCAATGTGATAACAAATTGCTTAGTTGTTCCCTGCACTAGCTTGGCCTCATCTCTGTTAAATTCAAGGTCTCTTGTGTGTTCAGCTGAGCAGATTTAGCTGGGCATAGGCTAATGTTTATTAGCAAGGCAGAGACTGAGGAGGCAGCAGGAAGATCAGTAAGGAAACGGACAAAAGGAATAAAGAGGAAGATGGAAAAAGAAAGGATTGAGAAGGGAATTGAGGGATATGAGGCAAAATGGAAAAAGATGAAGGAAAGACAAGGGGTGAACAGAAAAACAGGAAGTTAAGGAGGAAATTTGAAATGAGAAGTGGGAATGTTACAGGCAGGTATGAGTCAGAAGGAATGATAGAGAGGTGGTAGGGAAGAGGTGGGATTACCCTGAGAGCGGGGAGGGAGGCAGCGCTCATGCAGACATTCCCTGCCAGACATCTCCCCTGCTTCTGCAGGGTGAACCCCATGGTGATGAACCCAGGTGCTCCTGTCCCATTTCCCCCCCGTTAGTGATCCCATGGTGCATCAACCTTGAGCTGTATGGTGCAGGGACGGTGCATGCGTCAATCCCCTCTCCTTCCAGAAGAGCTTCACACAGAAAGTTTTGAAGAAGAAAATCTCTAGTGAGGGAAGATGAATTACTGTATAAATTCAATTATCTTGACAGCTCAGTGCTCAAATTCCATCACAGATCAGGAGTTTCTCTCTGATTTAGCATAGTTCCAGCTTCCTAACCTGCCCCTTCACTCGCTCACCCACGCCAGAGGCTGCAAAATACTTTAGTGGTGGCAGAAATGAGCTGCCATTTCCCTCGGGAGGGATGTGTTCCCTCTGCCCCATCACGATAAGGGGAAAGGACAGCTTGCAACCAGCACAGGCTTTTTTTGCCACATCCTAAGCTTTGTCTGGCTGCCCCTAGATGTTAAAGAAACTAAGGCTTTTACAAAAAAAAAGGTGCTTCAATCAGCCAAGAAACAGGGGAGAACTAGATGAAGAGTGGTCAGGTCCTGGGGGCTACCATTGCTCATGGCAGTGAGCTGCCACAAAGCAAGGAGGAGGAGCCTGGAAAGCTCCTGGAGTTTAATAAGGAGACAACCAATTTTTATTAGCTTTAATATTGCCATGCTCTTGGTTTATGAACACGCAGCAAACACATGGTTCCTCGGGTTGCTGGTGCTATAAAGATCCAAGCACTGAAGTTTGGGTGCCTGCCCAAGCATCCAAATAAGCCCCTAATCCACCATCACAAGGTCTTGAGACACAGATACAGGGAAAATGTGAACCTCCTGACATAAATTTCCTGCTGGATTTTGGCTGATAACTTTTTGTGATGTGCTCTTTTGACTCTCTGTCTCTGTCACCACCTCCGCATGTGGCAGTAGGAGATCAGGTATAGCCCAACATTGGAGGGTCTGCGTGTCCACGGTTTCCAGGCAGTGGGGAGCAGGGCTGGCTGGAGAAAGATAAGAGCAAAACCAGCTGGGCTGGCAATCTCTGAAATGCTGCAGATGCCCAGCAACTCTAGCGGAGTTGCTTAGAGATTCTGTTTCATTAGGGGAAGGAGGCATCCATTTGGATTTATCGGTTTTACCTACACAGAAAATATTCTTTTTGTTAATCAACGGAGTTTCATTTCATCCCATTCACTCACAGTCTGTCATTCTATGGGTGTGCTACCCTTGTGCAAAGAAGAAGCATGAACGTGCGCCGATGCTAAAGCCATCACCAGGAATGAAAAGGCGAGAACGAGTATCTCTAATGCAAAATTGCACTGGAATTTTGTTAGAGTTGTTTTGGATGTGATTTACGTGACTACAATAGGCATAACTCATCCGCAGGGATTTAAGCATCCTGGATGTGTCTCTGTTATTACAGCCAAGACCAGGAGGCCTCAGGAAGGACTGTAGGCAGAAGGGGTCTGCTAAGTGAGCCAAAGCCCTGGGGCCTGCTAGGGCTGAGCTCGTTTTTTGTTAGAAGTTGCTCTCTGAAAAATTTAACAGTTGCCCTTCTCTGACCCATCCTTGGGAACAGCCTGCTGTTTTCCTTGACAGAGTGATTGACTGTTCAGCATGTTTTTTTCCCTAGCTAAACTGGAATGTAATTGCAGCAAATCTGCAGCCGCTGAGGGCTGCAGGAGGCTGGCTTGCTGGCTGTGGGAACTGCGTGGTTGCAGCTAGGGTAGCATTCGTCTTGCCCCAGAAGGGCCTATACTTACTATTTTGATGTTTATTACTTTCCTAGTGATGCATAGGCTGTACTGTATCTGTGGAAAGCTTTTTCCACCTAGGAGAGGGCAGCAATGTGCACCTGGTTAAGACGACTCTAGTTGTAACACCAGCAATGTGGTTGTAGCTGCAAGAGGACAAAGCTCGAATGGTTTGTAAGTGGAGATTTTATTTTTAAATTAATTTTGTATGGCTAAGCCTAAGAAAAGATGTCACCTCTATCCACTGATTTAATCTCAGTCCTAGCTCTGTGCTATTCCTCTGTGCTCAGTTTCTGTGAGGGTCATGGTGTTCTTCAGGACTTCTCATTTGATCAGTTGCGGTTCAGAAAAGACCACTTTTTGAAATTAAACATGTTTTGGGGCCATTTGCTTATTTGGTGTCTGACAGAGTGTGTTTAAGGTTATTCCGTTACTGTTCAAAAATATTTTTTTTGCCTTCAGAGGTCTTTGCCCGTACCATAGTTCCAAAGTTTCAGCAGGTCTGTCTAATTCTGGAGCAACAACGCTCCGATAAAGCAATCCTGCTTTGTGCTTTTGGAACAAGGTTGATCAGTGCTTTCTCAAGGCCCTTTGTACTGTGTTCATCTGGACCATACAGTTATGTCCTTTGTGTGATGCCCTGTGGTCACATCTGTGTGTTTATATCAGTGCACACTCTTCCTCCTTTCATGTCCTCTTTCCAGTTTCAGCTGACCAGATCTAAGTGCTTTCTTTAAGGTAAGTATTGCTGCTTGGTTTGGGGTGGAGTTTCTTGGGGTTGCAACTTCTTAGGGTTGTGAATATTTTGATTATCTGTATGAAATACCTTCTCTCTCTTTCTGCACTCAGTGTATGTGGAACTGACAGCTCCAGGGAGGTAAATGAATGCCACTGCATTTCAGAGGAAGAATTATTTCATGCAATTACCCTAAAAGTGTATGAGAGAACAGAGTGAAAGGAATGAGGGAGAGAAAGAAAGAGAGCATGAGAGAGAATAATCACAACACTTCGACAGGTTTACCCCATTGTGTTTGAAAATCTATCACTCTGACAAGTCCCCTTTGTGAAAGGTGTAGACATAACTAGACATTTGCTCTTCAAGGTCCTTTCGAGCGAAGAGGGTGATGGATAGAAGGTTCAGTTTGTTTCACTCAAGTTGCACTCAAGTCTTCTCCCTGACGTTTCTTACAGACTGGCTGTACCCCATTTCCCTCGTAACGTCTCATTTAGGCTCTTATTCTTCAGTGGTTCCTGGGTAGAGGGCTTTGGGTGCACTTTAGGTTACTGGACGATCGACTTGTGGGTCTTTCTATTTAAGTTATAGTGGTTTTGGTTTGAGAAGGGGTGCAGTAACAAAAGGCTGTGTCTCCTGTTCCCTCCCTGTCTCTTGAGCATGTTGAAAGGCTTTTGTAGCTTTGGAGAAACAGGGCTTTTTGTAGCTTCATTATTCACATCTGAGAAGAGATTTAGGCAAAGCTGTTCCTGTCCTTACTCTGCTGCTGTTTCATCTGCCAACGTTGTCACCTTCTTGATCCCTTCTGCCCATCAGGGTCACCCCGGGGGAGCTGGTGACCACAGCCCATGTCTTCCCAGAGGTCTCATGTGCACTGAAACATGCAAAATGCTTTGAGATCCTCAGGTGGAAATTGCTGTCCAGGGTAAATGGTTATTATAATCCAGTTTCTCGCTGTGTTTTCCAAAAGGCAGGCGAGTTACTGGACATTTGCCACAGCGGGCGAGGAGGGCAGCACTGGGCTGAGGGATGCTGAGCCAGGTCACTTTTTTTCACCTGCACCTGCTGCTCTTGCAGCACAGCCAATGCATTAGTCATAGCTATTTGCACTTTGAGGTTATTTAGGGAGCATGCTGTTGGGTTAGGAAAGCTAAGGTCTAGCATATGTCCTAAAATTAGGCTTTTCTCCTTTTTGTTGGTGTCAGAAAGGAGTGATTCACAGCTATGGGAGAAGCCTTCCCACCTAGCTGAAGCAGTTACTGCTTTAAGCAGAGAGTTTGCTTCGATGTGAGATAAAACAGGTTAGCTGAAGCCACCTCCAGGGACCTCATTCCCTACTGTGAGATGAGGGGAGCACCCTGCTGTGCTGCAGGTAATTCTCAGCAGAACTGGCTACACAGCCCCGTTCCTCCTGGCCTCCTGGGAAATGTCCGGCCCACATGTGCACCCTCACCAGGAGCACACGCTCCTCATCGGGGCATCTTTTTGCAGCTCCTTTTCCTTCTGATGGTCCCAGCAGGTAAGTGTTACCACAGCTCCTGGCCTGCATCCTGACAGCACGCTCTCACTGCTCACTGCCATCCCATGGACAGGCTGTTTTCTGCCAGGGGAGGCTGTGGGCTCTGGTCCTGCTCCCAGAGGCCTTCTGGGGGCTTCAGTTTTGCTCCCAAAGGCTTAGGTTTTATCCCCACAACTTCCAGAAACCCTTCAATAAAGAAACGATGACTCTGTGACTCAAGCCAATATTTTGGATACTTTTAAACATCTTTTTTCTCTCTCTCTTTTTCCTCTTCTCCAGGATGGTGGAGTACTCCCTGGATCTCCAAAACATTAACTTGTCTGCGATCCGTACTGTCCGCGTCCTGAGACCCCTGAAAGCTATCAACCGTGTGCCTAGTAAGTCATGCTTCCCTCTCACACCTGCTCAGCTTGTGTCGTGGGAATATGTGATCAGTCAGGCTGTGTGTAGTGGTGTTTTCCAGGCTGAGTTCAGGTGCAAACTGAGTGGAGGCTGTTGTGCAGGTTTTTCCCCATCATGGGGCCAAGAGGTTTTGTTGGATGAGCAAGAAAATTGCAGTCTTACAACATATCTGCACTGGTCATCCTTCGTACAGGACCATGGTGATGTCTCAGGAGCTGAAGCTGAACAATGTACAATAAAGTGGTTTTTCTTGCTCTTACTGAAGGACATTGCAGTTTTGATAATGTCTGCAGGTTCAAAATGGAATGCATGTGAGGTCTGGAGAGGGTGGTGGGAGCAGGAAGAATTGCTTTGCTCAGGCTTTCACACACTCTTCCAGATCTTCTCATCTGAAAAATGTTCATGCTATTGCAGCTTAGGGGCATGTAGCACCGGCTGTTTTTTCTCTCCTCTTCACCCTGTGCTTTCTACTTCTACTTTTGTGCTGACTCTCCCCCCTGCGAGCTGGCGTGTGTCTATGAGCTGGGCTGAGCGCCTCTGGGCACGGGGCTGCGTGTGAGCCGGGATGTGTCAGCAGCCAAAGGGTTCAGATACTGTTCTGGTCCCAGACAGAGTCCCCAGCTCTGGTCTGGATGCAAACCAGGTGAGGTGCTGCATCCCTAGGATGTGAGCTGCATCCCTGGGGCACATGCCATGTGCATGGACTGCTCTCATGGCGGAGGTGGCATCTCCGTAACCCTTACTTCCTCTCTTCCCAGAGGACGAAGACAAGACCAGCTACTTTGCTGTGCTTTGCCATTTTTATTGGTGCCAAACTGTTTATTCCCTCTTCTTCTCTTCCTTTGTCTCTCTTTTTTAATATTTTTTTTTCCCTCAAGTCAGTGTTGTTCTTCCTGCAACCCTGCAAGTAAGCAAGCGTTGCCATTGTTATTTACCTGCAGGAAACATTGATGGAGGTGGCTTGGGGTTCATAGTGGTTGTATCCCGGTGGATGGAAGCGAACCGGCAGGCAGGTTGCGTGTCACTGGGATCAGGGGGTTGCAAGAGCACTGAACTTGGTCTGCTGTGTCACTGCGATGTCTCTGGCTGTTCCCTGTGCAAAGGCAGCAGCTGCCACACGCAGACCTGTGAGACTTCAGGTGTTTCTTCTGCAAGTTTCTCTGTCTTGCAGAGTGGCAGGAAATCTCTGCTCTTCCCCATAATCTCCCCAGTCAGCTTGTCTGCAGTGGCTAACACCTTGCCAGAGCTCTCCTAATCCTTCTCTTGAGCTCAGATGCTCCTTTTTCTTTTGCAGACCTGAGGAAGTTTGTACAGTTGACATTCCAGTCTGCATAATACTTTTTCCCTTGTGCTAAAGTCACTTTCATGACACAAGAAGTTTCTTGCATATGCTATGGAGTTGGATTTCAGAGTCTCTGGCGCCATGCAAAGCCCTTCTGGAAAGAGGTCTTGTCCCCCTTCCTTGGTGTATGTTTATTTCTGGGCAATAGCCAGGGTTAGAGGGTGCTGCAAGGTGTGCTGGAGGAACAGGGGCGCAGCCCTGTGTGCCCCACACGGCAGGAGGGCACCAGGCAGAGAGAAGCAGCTGGTTTGGGCACAGAGCACACACCCAGGCAATTAACAAAGGTGTCATGGGGTGATCAAAATGGGAGCTAAGAGCAAGCTTTTGGCTATCGACTATCAGCAAAACAACTTCCCCAGCCTGTTTCTGGCTCTCTGCTCCCATTCCAGAGAGGAGAGGGCTGGGAGCCAGCCACAGTCCTGGCTGTGGGCATGCACATCAATGTGGGGGGACATCTCTTCTGTGAGGGGATGGCCCAGAGGTCGTGCATGGCAGGCTCACCCCTTCCATGAAGCGTACAGCTGGCTGCATGAGGGCAGCACCATCCTCATGTTATGCAGCCCTGTTTCCTCCCTGCTTTGTTAGGAGTCCCATGAGTCTGTGCTCAAAGATCCCTTTAGGACTTATTTAGGATTTAGGGTAGACTTAACCTTGGTAGTATGTGGGAGCATCTTGAACGATATTCAGTTGACTCCTGCAGACATCTGCCATGTTAATTGCTGTACACTGGTGGCCAGGAGCAGAGCTTGGCTGATAAAGGGTCAAGACCTTGTTTTATTCCTATTTATCAGCTGGAGCAGCTGAAGTTGCCCTCCCCGACACCGCCCCAAGCCCGGCTGGCAGGAGCTGCCCCAGGAGGAGTGGTGTGAGCTGCATCAAAACTGGCCCACCAGGGACCCGCTCTGTCCAGTGGAGACACCAGGGATCCTTTCGCTCATCTCATCTGACCTTTGCAGAGCGCAGGCTGTTGAATTTCCCCTGAATGTCCCAGCCATGACGCTGTCTGTCTGCTCCTTTTATCAGTATAAAACTCTACCTGTATGTAATTGATGCTGTTTTAATTTCCACTCTGTGGTTAAATCTTTATGTATCTTTCTTGCTACATAAATCTCTGGTTATGCAGAAAACATTTTGGAAGAAAGACATCCTGCCATTAATTTAAAAAAAAAAAAATCAGATTCCCTGGGAAAGGAAGCACTGACTTGAGGGTTGAAAACTGGCTAAGAGGCTGTAAACAAAGGCTTGTGATAAATGGGAATGAGCCGTGTTGGAAGAAGGTGCCTAGTGGGGTACAGCAAACATAATTAATGGGACCTTTGGCCACAAATCTTCTTTTAATGTCTTTTTAAAGTTCTTCATTACTGATCTGAAGCAAGAGGAAAGTCTATTAGTGAGATGTACTGATGATACCAAGCTGGAGGTGTTGCAGGTGCTAGCAAAGAAAGTGGGAAATAAGTGGGAAGTAAAAGGCAAATTGAGGTCTTGGTGGGAGCGTGAAATATTTGGGGAGGGACAGGGGGTTTTATCCCAAAGGCAGATATTTTGGCCATGGTCAGAAGGCTGTGGTGGGACAATGTGGCCCAGCATTCACTGGTGGCCGTTTCAAAGGCTTCCACGTGGACCCCCAGGTAGGGACTGATTTTCACAGAGGAGTCTGGCCGTGTGGACTGAATAATGGCAGTTTATCAAGAGAATGGACAAAGTGATTAGGAACCTGAATGATTACTGCATGAGGGAAAGAGTGCTGAAGTGGTCTGTCTGGGCAGATTATTTAGTGGACAAAGAACAATAACACTCTAATAATCAGCAAGCATTTGAAAAGTCTACACACAAAATTGAGAAATTTCTGGAGCAATTTGAGAGAAATTTTGTACTACATGAAGCGATGCCAGAAAATTAGGAGGGAAGAAATTCAGAATGACTCTAAGGAAACAGTAGCAACTTGGTAGATGAAAAGGTATGACCTGTTAGATAAATAAGCTAATTTTATATTCTTGACAGGTGGGCAACGTGTCATTGTTTAGCCCCAGATGGCAACAGAGAACCATGCAGTCTTTTCACTCACCCCACACCCCCTGCTGGAATGAGAGGAGAATCAGAAGAAAAAGGCAAAACTCGTAGGTTGAGATAAAGGCAGTTTAACAGAAAAGCCAAGAAAGGAAAACAACAATAATACTGATAAAGGAATATGCAAAACACAGTTAACGTACCACCACTCACCAACCAAACCTGGAAAGCCCCCATCTGAGTGGCAATTCCTGCCCCCTGCCCAAGTCAGTTTCCCAGCTAAATACTGACTTGTTTTCTAGTTTGGATCCCAACCTGGCAGTGTCTTGTCCCAGCAATTTGTGAAAATGAACCCTGTAGCTGTCAGAACCAGGACATCATCCACCCCTTATTCTGTACCATCCACATTGTGCCCAGATCTTACACCTTCCAATTAATTGGCACCACTTTTCCCCATCTTTGGTATATATATAGAATCATAGAATCGTTTTGGTCGGAAGAGACCTTTAAGATCATCAAGTCTAACTGTTAAGTTGGCACTGCCAAGTCCACCGCTAAATTGTGTTCCTTAGCACCATATCTACACACATAGGTACACACAGATATCATTCCCGTAGCCTATAGGCCATTCTTCCAAAACGTCTGTTCAGTTGAGTTCATTTAATCCATCACTTTGGGCTCCATCTATTAGAACAGGTTCTTAGCGCAGGTGAGATGGTTGGAATTCTGGACTGTTGCAAGCTGTATTCAGAGTTCACGGCTGCTGTGTCTGATGTGGCCCATGCCCACAGTCTGCGGGTTGAAGATGTTGATCTTGAGCAAGTTGCTGGGTGCTACTTGATGAGGTCAGTTCTGATCCCATCACTGCTGTGCTTTACTTGGTTTCATCAAAGTCCATCTGTCATTGGTTTGGGTGATTCTTACTGTAGTACCATTGATGTGGCATATAGTAATTATAGTAATGATGACATGCAGTGGCTGGGTTATTTAGGAATTAACAGCATACAAGTTGATTTATTGGCTTTTCTCACCCAAAATCAGATCCTCATGGGGTGCACGTTGGACCTCCCTATCCTTCCACATCACCCACCAAGTGCACCCAGGTTCTCAAGTGAAACTACGGGGATTTTATCCCCTTCTACAATAGTGGCAGTTTTGACTGGGCAGGGCCAGCTTGATTGGTAGATTCCCTGGCGTTAACTAGCTGGGCAGCTTTTGCTAAATGTGTATCCCAATGTTTTAAAGTCCCACCACCCATTGCTCTCAGTGTACTTTTTAGCAGTCCAGTATTGTTTGACCTTCTCAGAGGCTGGTGCGTGATAGGGCATGTGATACCCACTCAATGCCATGTTCTTTGGCTCAGATGTCTATGAGGCTGTTTCAGAAAACAGTCCTGTTGACTGACTGAATTCTCTCTGGTGTACCATGTCGCCACAGAACTTGCTTTTCAAGGCCCAGGGTAGAGTTCCAGGTATGGGGCACAGGGTATGTTTCCAGCCATCCAGTGGTTGCTCCCACCATTGTGAGCACATGGCACTTGCCTTGGAAGGTTTGTGGAAGTGTAATGTAATCAGTCTACCAAACCACTTGCTGATTGTTTTGATGTTCCTTAGTGGCCTGACTGTT